AAAAAAAAAAGGCAGCCGGAGATTGGGGTTTCCACAGAATAAAATAAGATGAGTAGACCTGAAATATTACTTTTTACACATAATTTAAAGATTAGAGCTGAAGTAATTATGAGGGCCTAAATGAGTTTTAGAAATACTCTAAGATGAAGTTCCTGATATTGATATGAAGACACACAGTAAGACCGGGTGATATCACATCAAATCCAGAATATATCTTTACAACTTATGCACGATGACCAAAGGATTTGCAAATGAAGAACGCACCGTGGAATTTATTCCTTTTATAGCTATTAAGGCAGGTAAAGGCCTGCCTTCATCTGATGAGAAAATCCTTCCGTGTATTCCTGTCTGCGTTAGATTAAATAAGGTAAGTGTAATGTGACGCATAAGTCTGCACTTTTTAAAAAGAAAAGCTGTCACTTCACTTTTCAATATTTTAGCAATATGTCACTAAAAGTACCAAGGCACCCACTGAAATATTTTGAAATTTAAAATTCTCAAAAATGGTAATTTAGACTCCACTTTGGGGCCACCTCTGTTAGTACCACATAAGAAAAACTTCAACTCTTACCTTAATAACTTTGCTTAAACACAAAGAGGATTAATTAAAGATGCGAGTACAAGCAAATCTATCAAACCTTCAAAGTCAACCATCTTCTCTGCACCATTTTGGTCAGGTATCGAACTATCCTTTTCTTAAGATTAAACAACAATTTAAGGAATAGACAGCAAGCATTCACTTAAACAGAATTATGAACCCTCCACAAATAAAAGGCAACCATAACCCAGACCTTCTATAAATTGCAAAGGAAAATCACCAAGATACTAGAGACCTTGGTCAGGATAAGGTCATAGAGATCATATTATTCTTCTCCCCTTAGATGATTGAGAATGTATTAATAGCTAGCTGAACAAAGGTAAATTCAAACAGAGTGATTTTCAGGGAAAAAAATCATTCTCCTAAAGTGAAGAACCGCAAAATGATAGATGCTATGAGGTTACCTTCACAAGGCTTGCGACAAGATTGAGCATACTCATCTTGTTATACTCAAAAAGAGTAGGAAGCTGCAAATAAACGAGTAGTTGTTTATAAATGGGTGCTGCATTGTGAAACATTATATTTGAGATTATATAAATGGGTTATCCACATAAACAGGACTTTATTCAGAAACATTATACTTCTATTCACCAAACCGTCAATACAAAGACAATTAAATGAGGAGGATAAATTCCAAAAATAAATCATGAAAATTGATGCAGAAGACCCTTCAAGAGTCATGCATTGTCAGCCAACTACAAGTTCTACTGACAAAAACTGAGATCTAACCTCACGTGCGTTAGGCCATTTGTCATCACTTATCTCTAGAGTCAGTTCAAAACAGCCAGCATGTAAGTAATTCCAGTCTTGCATGCCTCCATAGATTGGATACCTGCAGCAGAAAACATAGGAAACTCAGCTTTGTATGAAGCAACAGCAAAAGCAGCAGAAAAAGATAAAGCCTCAAAGGAGCTCTAAACCTGAATGTTAACACGATGAATTTCATTGGATTATCACCATTCTTCCTTACCAATATGCACCATTTGTTATTCCTCCTGGAAACTCCTCGCTTAGAGACATGTTATGGTGGGAATGACTGTAGATGCTAGCCATGTGTCTGAATGTTTCATCATCTGGACTGCCATAATAATATTTTCTGAAAATGATACCAATATATGTTGTGAACATTATCATTAAAAATTAGTGCTGGCATGAAAATATCTGAAGACAACTAGAGACTCGGGAGATCAAAAAATATGATAGAAAACCAAATAAGTGAAGAATGGTACTCTAAACAGATTAGGCCTCTCATTCAAAAATCAAATTTAAGGATAACAAACTATCATCAGACACTCACCTTTTGTTCTCAGTCCCATCCCATGGATAATTTGCTACAAGTGCTCCCTGTTTAAAGAAAACTATAAGTAACTCGCCGAGGTCAAATTCTCCAACATTTTCATATTGATGACGCAATGAGACAAAAAGAACAAACTCTTTATCACCAAAGAGACAACAGTATATGCAAACAAAATATTGCAAAGGACTGGGCAAGCAGTTCCCTTATTATAACGATTTATTATCACAGGTTTTCTTCTTTCTTTTTTCCTTTATAAACTACTATCGCAGATTTTCTCCTGATCTGAGAGTTCTTCTTGACACCCATATCATTAATCTGTTTTGAACCTCTTTTGCTTCCAATATAGTTTTACATTATAAGTTACTACTTATCAGCAGAAGCTTCATTACTTGTACTAATCTGTTAGATCTGCCATTTGAAGCTGGCCAGGTCGAACAAGGATAACCATTTCTACTGGTGCTTGTTATGAAAGTGAAAACTTCATACTGGGTCATTTAGTAGACAAAAGAATATAAGCACAAGTTTGAACAGAAGTCACCACACTACTAAAACATAAAGTGACACAAGAAAACATTATGAAACACAAAATAGTTTACTTCGCTAAAAGTGCAAAAGCCACATAACTAATACACCTACTTAACTACAACATAAATAAAGGGCATTCAGATGCAACCCATAAGTTAGATGAAAGAGTAACTGAATGCTTACCCCATGCAGACTAGCAGATGCTGTGAAGTGCATTTCCTCCAACCAATGCATAATGGCTTTTGTTTCAGGTTGATGTGCACCAGGATCATCATTTATGGGAAAGAACTATGTCATTTCATGTCAGTTAATCCTTGTTATAATTAGTCTACATAGGAGAGAGGATAAGAACTTGAAAAGACAAAAACAAGAACAGCCTTTCAATAAGAAGTGGATTTGTGACAAAACTAAGAGTAGCCTATTGAAGTGAAGTCAACATATTCCACACAAGCTTTAATATCAATTCAAAGAAATTTTAAAAGACAAATAATATATATTTAAAGTTGAATTCGATCTCAAAGACTAACCTCCAACGTCTCACAATAAACATTATGGAAAAATCAATAAAGGGATCTTTTTTTTAAACCACATTCTAGAACTCATGTTACTAGCATGAATGTTGAGCGAATATTGAAGCAAACAGTTTCTGCACTTCACGAAAGATGTGAATCAACAACCGCTCC